TTCTACAAGCCTAGAAATTAGCATGAGAAAAGTTAAGTATTTTAGGTGGTTTTAATACATATATTATTTACAGGTCATTTGAATTGGCTAAGATGTAACAGTACAGCTCCCTAAATATGGTTCTTCTGTTTAACAACTTACAAGAGAAGCAACTTGCGAAAGATTTTCCCCAATGAGCAATGCAAGAATGGTGATCACAACCAAGTATTTCAGAAACTAAATTAGCATCACAAATTAAAATCTTAACAGTTCTGCAACATAACTGTTCTAATAAATCTTTGGTTCTCTGATCTCTCCTCTTGAAAGAGTACTTGTTTCTTATTATCTGTCTTTTCAACCACGTGGAATCTGGCTTCTGCTGGCTGAGCTTATCCACGTTTTCAAACCTTATTTTCCCTGACCTCTCTACAGCATTGGACACTATGAGCCACTTCTCTCTTGGCTTCCGTAAATCCACTCTCTCATTTCCCTACTGTCCCCACTCGGGCACCCCCAGCTTAAGTTTTCATCCTCCTTTCTCTCCAATTCCTACAATAACAGTGCTCTCCTATGAGCTCTACTTAGCCTCTTTCTCTCCAATAGAAGAGAGAAGTAAGGTCTGGTGATAGACATTTGGGTTTCTATCTTCCACAAGCCACGCTCCCAAATTGCTCCTAGACTAACCTTTCTAAAATACAAATCTGATCAGATCTCTTACGTTTAAATCTCAGAATCGAAAATCCTTATAATGGTACATAAAGCCTTCATGATTTGACCTGTACTTCCTTTCCAATCTCACCTTTCCCCTGTTCATCACAATTTATGCATAGCTTTGTGTCTAGGTTTTGTTGTCCCTCAAAGAGACCCAATTCAAATGTCACCTCCTATGTGAAGCCAGAGAATTACTTGCTCCCCACCCCACCATTATGTACTCTTTCTACACAATTTCTGTAATTATCTGCATTTACATCTCACTTTTCAGTGGAGCCACCTAGAAGAACAACCATAGTGATTTAAAAAATAAGACTGAGGGCCTTGGAAACACCTGGAAGGGAAATGATTCAATACACAAGAAAAACTGAAGGACAGAAAAATAAGAACAATTGAGTTATGATTTTAACTAATTGTCTTCAATGTAAATGAAATCTACTTCTATTTATACAAAACAGCTAGGATGAAAAAAACACTTAGAAGACTTAATTTTAAGCTGGTCCAGATATAACTTGTATCTGAAACCTGGTTTTAAAAAAGAATTTCTATTCGACCTTTACAAGTGCAAGTGAAAATAGAATGACTTTCTATGGAAGAGAGATACTGGCCTAATTATGTCAGCTCCCATCAGATATGAAAGTTTAACACAGTAGTCATCCAAGAGATACATATGCTAAGATTGATTAACAAAGTGTCTATCACTAAGACAAATTTAAGACGAATGAAAATGAAAATACAGCAATAGAATCTGGTTTCTTCTATTTCTTCAAAGCTGCACCTAGCATACATTAATCATTACAAAGAAGTTAAAAAAAAAACCACCACCTATTCTCATCCTACTTCACTTCTAAATTATGGAAATGAGCCACAGTATAACCTTTATTCTTTCTTATCAAAATATTGATTAAAATCATGTTATAATCACACAGTGGAAATATGAATTTAACTGAGTACAACCTTGGTAATAAAGGAATTTGAATAAATAAAATTTTTATGACAAATTTTGTTTGCTCACATTATACAAGTGACTGCAAACTATGTTTTCCTTCACAAATTCTTATAAAGAATACCACCTCTAGGATGGATTAATGATACTTCATGAGGAAAACTGAGCAGAGGGATCAAAACAAGCAACCTTTGCTTAAGTGCAGCATCTGTGAAAAGAAAAACAGCAGAACAGCTCATTTCTGATTAACATGTTACAGAAATCAGACTGAATATTTTCCTGTACTTTTTTCACAAGTTCATATGCCTATTTATTAATAAAGACATTTAAATTTAACAATAAAGAGATATGGCAGAAATCTAACTGGCATTAAATAAACAAAAAGAAGGCAAAGGCAGGAGACAGGGATGCCCACCCACTCATCACCACTTCTCTAACACACAATTAAGAAAAAACTCTGAGCTCCCATAGTACTTTTTACACACTTCAATTTGGACTTTTTACATCAAACTGTAATACTTATTTACATTTGTCTCTCCAACATAAACTACAAGTTTCACCTTTTGTATTCTTAAAAAATTTAGATATATGTGCTGAAATAACCTGCTTTTAGATTAAGAATAACTAACAAATCCTTAGTTAAAAATCATTTTGGGCAGAGATTTTCTAACCTGATTGAAAGAACATACTCTTGCTTTTTCAAACATTAAATATCTACATGATTTTCTCTCAAGCAATCCTGACATTCCTAATCCAATTTGTGGTTGCAGAAATAAGTTTTTTCAGTGCATAACAGCAGAGGCTGCTACTTACCTAAACTTACATTTCTTGCTCCCTTCATATGCTGGCATCTGGGAAAGACCATTTGGCCCTCAGTATTATGTAAGAACAGTGTTGAGTGCCTTCACTGTGTAAGTTTCTTATGTAATGAATATATTATAAAAGCATTACACCATGAAAACTACAACCAGTAATAAAAGTACTTAGTAAACTATTTTTATGAAGTTATCATGTAATTAGAACAGTTCCGTGAACCACGATAAAACTGCAAATCTTCAGATGGTTTAGTTCAGTATAAATCCAGAGTAAACTCAGGAATGTTAAAGACAACTAAGAATGAGATTAGAGGGAACAAAAAAAAAAAGTATTTTGATTCTTCCTTTTCAACCTCTCGCTAATCTCCACATCCCAAGGTATAAAAATGCTGTTAAGTTTTTAAGTTTATCTTTCTCTCTCTGGCCTACATTTGTCGGCACCAAGTTATAAAATGTCCAAAAAATGACCATAAAAAATAAACAAGTTGAGGAGGTAGTTTTCCAAAAAGATACATGAATTTAAAAGCTCTGAATCAACAGAGTTGGTGAAAACCCGGGGTCTTTTTTCTCCCCCACTTAAAAAGGCAGCAATATGTAAGAGTAAATCAAGAGAGGTAAACAACCACAAAAACGATAGGATTATGCAGAATTAAACTTAACAATTTTCAATGTCCAAGTGCAATATAATAGAAGTAACAGTATCTCCCACACTGTGTATGATTTTTTTTTCTCCCTTTAATAATCTAAGCCAACTTCACATAAAAACAAAGTTCCTGGACCAGCAAAAAAAAAAAAAAAAAAATGCTAATGAAACATGGGTTTCTGATGTACTTTTATAAATCTTATTTTTAGACTTAGATTCCACCAGCTTGGCCCCAGTCCATAACACGTTAATCTTAAAAAGCAGTACGTCTAATAAAGCAACCTTAAAAACCAACACTATAGCACGACCCACGGAGAATACCAAAGAACAACTTACTTTAAGCATATTGACACAGTGACAAGTAAGCGGTTCTGATGGTTCTGAGAAGTTAGTCATCTCAACAGACGGTGTAATGCCGCGAAAGGGAACTTAAGTAGTGACACACCCAAGGCAGGGCGCCACGTTAAGGATACAACTCTTCCGAGGCGGAGAGGGTTCTCGCCAGCTCTGACTGCTGCCGAATCCGGGTCCCGCTCCGCCTCCCAGAGGTCTGCCCACCGGCTTGCCTCCTCGTTCACCCCCTCCTCGCCCCCGACTCCAGCGACTCCCACCCCGGTAAGGCCTGCTTCGAAAGCGGAAACGGTCCAAGGCAATGTGGCTCCTCTCCCAGAAGGACGGCCGGGGACTGCTTTCGGACAGCGAGCTCGAAGGCATCCGCACCGACGGCGGGTGAGACCGGAACGGCTCTTTGGGTCGGTAGCTGCTGTGTCCCCTGAGGTGGCCCCGCTCCGACGTGTACCGTGGGCGTGAGAAATTCCTCATCTGCTGCTGAGAAGAGGCGGACGACGAGGAGCCTCCGCCCGTGCCAGCCCCGCCGCCGCGGGCGGGGTGAGGAGGCCGCCGCCGCGGGTACTGTAACAGCCCGGCGCCGCTGCTGCTGCTGCTGCTGCGGCTCCGTCCCCGGCTGTTGTTGTCGTCGTCGCTAATTTCCCCGTCTTCTAGCTCCCCTTCTTCCTTGGGCGACAGGCCGCTGGAGGCCGGGGCCGAAGGATCTGCGGTCGCCATCCCGGGAGCAGCGCCGTCCACACCGCCTCAGCCCTCCGTCCGGGGATCTGCCCGACAACTGCCCTGCTCCTCGGTTCCCTTCGTTACTAACGGGCCCGGTCGGTGCGGCCTTACCCCACACCTAGCGGGCTCTGCTCCCCAACTTCCCCGCACCCTAGCTCTTTCTCGCCGGACCGTCGCAACCCAGTTCCCTTCCCTAGCGCCCCCTTGCTCCTCCGCGATCGTGGTTCTTCCGCCTCGCGAGAAAGGGGCTCTGGAAGAGGCTCCGTCCGTGACGTCACTTCCTTGCGGAACGCAGGAAACAAGGCTCCCAGTTCACGCGATAACAATTAGGACAACGGAATTCTCAGTTTGATTTACGAGTGAGATTCACAAGTCTCTTAGCTGTCGAGTCTGTCCCTTTCGGTCTGTGGCTCACGCCCACACCAGACTCTGCGCTGGGGTATCTGGGTGCGTGGCAGGGTGGGCGGGTCTCCTCAATCTCGGCCTCGAGTCAGTTTCTTAGTGGGATGAGGGTGGGAGTGGGGAGAAACCCTCTGATGGCTCGGACCGCTGCTGAAGCGATGCAGTAGGCCCGCTCCCTTTTCGGGGCCGAGGAGGGGGCCGGGATGTGTCCGCCATGTTGGTGAAGGCAAAAGAAGGCGACTGGCGCTCTGCGGCTGTCAGCTCCGCTGGCTCAAGCCCGCCATATTAATAAAGAGAAAGGAAGGCTGAGCCCCAACCCAACACCACACGCGCACACACAGACACCCCTTTTTCCCCACCCTGTCCCCGCCATACCACTCAGCTCGGTGGACCCTTCCCCTGCCTCGCTTGCCCATCCTCTGCCCGAAAGAATAGTAGCAAAAAGCCAGCGCCCCAGAACACGCTTAAGACAACGCCGAATGAGGGGGAACGGGAAATGCCGACCAATTGCGCCGCGGCGGGCTGTGCTACTACCTACAACAAGCACATTAACATCAGCTTCCACAGGTAACCTGGGGCGGGGAGTGGGGGTGCCAGGAACGGGGGAACTCTAGATTGGGTATCGCTTGTGTGGAAGGAACAGAAGAAGGATTCTACTAATTCTAATTACTTCACTGCCTAGCTAGTACCAAGGAAGCATCGTTTTTGCCTTTTCTGTGTTTCTCACATCTGTCCAGTCTTTTTCTCCCTTCAGAGAATGTTTATTCACTTCAAAAGAAATCCAAGCCCTGTAACGGTGTTCGCTCCTTAGAAAGTGACAGGAGGATACTTTAATTTCTCATTCACTCCTATATAATTAGGGTCTTGACATTAATGACTCCATCAGAGGAAACGAGATCTTCCTGTTCAAGTCAGCAGTGATCTTAAAAGCGTGCTGTGTTCCCGTTAAAATTAGGAAATTCTCACTAGCTGAATTGACATGGGAAGCGTGAAGATTTCTAGTTACATACTGTAAATGCAGAGAAATTGAGTCGTCATTGGTAGCTGTGTAATTAAGTGATGTTATGAACGTAATAAAGATGAGTTTCCTATTCTTACTGGAACAGTAATAAAAAGAACCTAGTTGTGCTTTTCCTTCGTTTGCCGGAAGAGCAATCAAAATTCTTTAGTTCTGGTCAGGTCAGAATTATTGAAAGCACTTTGAACATTAAGTGAAATATAGTGAGTACTAGGTAAATTTTTACCTTCCCTGCAAGTGCATGCCATGTGCCTGAAGAAAAGAAGCATGGAAAAAAGTTAAGTGCAATTGTTCTGATTTTAGACACTTCATAACTTAATACGATCTTAGTAGAAAATGTTATCCTTGTCTTTCCCCTACTTCATTATGACTAAATGTACCCCATTATTAAAAGTTACCACTTAAATCCTTGTGTTTCTGTTTTTCAACGACTGCGTGCAAATACAGTGCTGTATTCACTCATCCATGAAATGTGTACTGAGTACTTATGTGCCTAACTTATTGGCTAGGGATCTTATTATATTCCTGGAGTTTACGGTGTAATGAGAAAGATAGACTAATAACTCGGTTAAGTGCCACAGAAGATACATTCAGGGAGACTGAACTTAGCCTTAGAAAGTCAAAGAACAGTTTTCAAAGGATGTGAAATTTCAAATGGGACCAAAGGATGACATGTGGTCCTGTATGCACTTTAAGGATTTTCTATTTTATCTAATCAGTACTTGAGAAGCTATGGAGGGTTTTAAAAGAATGGCATGATTAAATTTGCATGTTAAAAAGCCCTCTGTTGCCATATGGAGAATTACAGTGTTACTTAAAGTACCAATCAAGCATCATCTAGAGATGAATTTGATGAGAAAAGAGCTTATTACAGAATGTTTAATTTACCTACAGTTTTTCTCACAGGGAGATTCTGCTACAGGTGTCAGCTGAGCTAAACAATGTATTTGTGGGCACAACCAGCACTAGAACAGAGAGTTGATAGAGAAAAAACAGGAACTGGTCGTAAAACAAAGCAGAGTCCACGCATTGGCCTGAACTAGAGTGGTACTGACAGTAGGGGTGAAAAGAAGTGGACAGATTTGAGAAATGTTTGAGGAGAAACTACTGTATTTGGTAATTTGAATTGGAAGATGAGGGAAAAGGAAGTGTCAAGACACCAATATTGAATGTTTAAGAGTTGCACTATGATAGAGTAACCTGCATACCTCCCATATTTTACCATTTGCTACCTATGAAATTAACATACACATGTGTAACCCCAGAAATTTTTGTCTTAAAGTAACATTATTTATAATAAAAATACATTCCTATTCCATAAATACAAACTATTTAATTAACACTTCTAGGACATTGGTAGACTTCTTATCCCCATGTACAATTTCTATTGCCTAAACTTACCATCTCCATTTCTCCTATCTCTTGCTCAACCCACTCCAATCTAATTTTGCCCAGTTTATTCTGAAACTGCTCTTGCTAAGATGAGTTATCACTCTTACATTCCTGTTTCATGGCATGGGATCATTTCCTCCTTGAAATACTATTTTTTAATTATTTGACACTAATTTTGTGATTTTCATCGTACTTTGGCCTGTCTCTGCCAGTCCCATGCTCCACCCCCTCACCTAGGACTTCCCATCCCCACCAAAATGATTTCATCTGTTCCTGTGGTCGCAGCTAACAGTTACTTGTTGATACGTCCGAAATCAGTATCTCCAGTCAAAGCTCTTGAAGGAGTTCCCATCTATATAAGTGTATCAGCATTTCCTCAGTCCCCAATCTCTCTTCAGTTTCTCAGATTCAGCATACCAAAACTATACTAATAAACTTGCCCTTCCCGCATACCTGTGCCACTTCCCATATTCCCTTTCTCAGTGAATGAAAATACCATCCACCCGGAAACTGAGAGGTCATCCTCCCTTGACTTCTCAGGATTCCCTCTTGATTGGATTATTACAGCAGCCTCTTAACAGGTCCACTGCTTCTATTCATGCATTCCTAACTGCTCTTGTATAAAATCAATGGTATATTGCTAAATGTTTAAGAACAGGCTCTGCGGGGAAGGGGAAAAGCCCTGATTTGTAGAGTTTGCTCAGTTTCTATGATATAAATGCTTCTACCATGGCTGGTTTCAAACCATCAACATAATATCAGTGATCATGGAGTTGGGAAGAAATATAGTACCACACTGTTGGATAGCATTAATACCATATAGCTGTAACAGACATAAATGGCTTTAAGAGTATAAATATAGTAAAATAATTAGAATGCAATGGGTTTTAGTATTACCTTTGTTTTTAATCTGATTGCAAACTTACACAACTTAGTTTTTAATAATGGCTCTTTAACAGCCAGTTAAAACATTTTCTGTTAATAATGAGTTCTCTAAATTAGGGCTTTTAATGGCTTACCAATACCGTTTTGCATAAAATTCAAAATAGCTCTTTAAATTATAAGGCCCTTCAGCATCTTTTCATGTTGTTACACTCTTCCCTGTCCCAAGATACTCTTAACTCTCTTCATGACCCCCCCCCACCCTAAGTTCCCTAACTAATTCCTATTCTCTTAAGGCCTCCTGACTGGAAATGCACTTACTGTTTTATGGTTCCATGTGATCCTGTACTTAACATTTTATAACACTCATGGCACTTGTAATTACAATTATAATAAGTAGCATTTATTTTGTATTTCCTATGTACTGTGCATGGACTAAGCATTTACTCTTAGTATCCCAATCCCTAGAACCATACTAGGCACCGTTGCTACTCCACTTGATAGATGATAATACTGAGGCCTAAAAAGCCTAATAACTTGCCTAAGGTTGTCTGGTTATTATGTAAAGAGCCAGGATTGGCACTCTAGTTTGACTCCACAATGTCCTCAGCCACTCCTTTCTAGTGCAGCAAGCTATTAGATTTCCTAACTTACTCATTACAGTATACCCTCAAAGAAGGTATACACCATAAAGATAGGTCAGTTTTGTTTATCACTGTATTCTTTAGTGCCTAGGACAGTGCTTGGAATGTAAGATGCATTCAGCTATTTATTAAATACCCAAGCAAAACAGCATTGTTTAAAATACTAAACAATTTTCAAGACATCTAATGTTTCTGAAAGCCTGGTTCTATTATTACATAGATAAGAATATATCTATCTATTACCACCATGTTAATTTTTTAATATTTACAGGATGATTTATTATTGTATATATTTAGCTTATGGGCTATATCTCCTGCTCTTTGATTATTCTAAGAAGAACTTAAACACATGAAAACATGATTAAGGTTACTGATTTATGAAAACATCCAAAATCAAATACAAAGCTGTTGGTTATTCTACTCTTTCAACTCAGGTAACTAAAGATTATTTACTAATGCCAAATTAACCCCATTAGCTCATTTCATTCAATGATTCCCTCAGAGAAGTTGATTAAGTGCTTACTGAACTGGATAAAGTAGTGAAAAGCATAGCTCCCAGTCAGGAGAAGCTTACAATCCAGTGCTAGATGTAGAACAATAAGCACTTAGATACAGTCATGTTAGTTACAGGAACACCTAACCCAGTCTTCTGATGATGAGAAGTTTCACTGAAAGAATTCTTAAACTGAATCCTAAGGAAGTAGAATTTGGTCAAGTTAAGGTTCAATTTGAGATATTGATTTCATAATTGGGGGGCTAGTTTTAAAAAGCTGAAAATAAAAATAGGTTGTCTGAAAGGCAGTCTTCATATATCCAAGGAGTCTAATATAAATGATAAAACAATAATAGTACTTATTTGTGAATGAATCTTTACTGAGGCTCCAACAACAAGAAATGTGCTTGTATACTAAAGCTTGGTTTTTAGCATAGGACACAGGAAACATTTCCAAGCCATTAAATATTGAAGCAGGAATCTTTGAAAGGAGAATACATTATTATTAAGACATAAGGGCTGGGCAGAGAAATTCATTAGAGATTTCTAGTGAAATAGAAAAAAAAATACATACATGAAAATAAGTGAACTCTAGAAAGATACATAAATGTTAGTATCTTCAAATCAGGGTATGTTTGAGCTTGGGGGGATAGGGACAGGAGATGGAAGGGTGTTCACCAGTACATCTGGGCTGTCATCTCTTTGTGCCCCTCACTACTGGTAATTTGAGCAAACCTAGTATATCTGATACAGCCAAAGCTGTTACCTAGTAAAGTTTCAGTTGGGGGCTTCTGAGCCACATGATATTTTACCATGAATTTAATGGTTCTTTTTAAATACTAGTCAGTTCATAATTAATACTTAAAGGATAATATCATCAAACTAAAGAAGAATTCAACTGAAACTTATTACTGATGAATGTTGATTCTTATGTGTTTCCAAGTCAGCAACACGGTTACCACTAGAATTTTTTTTTTCACTTACTTTTTTTCATTTTTTGTTAAGGTATCATTGATATACAATCTTATGCTCAGGTTTTACATGAGCAACATTGTGGTTACTACATTCCCCCCTATTATCAAGTCCCCACCACATACCCCATTACAGTCACTGTCTGTCAGCATAGTAAGATGCTATAGAGTCACTACTTGAATTCTCTGTGCTATACTGCCTTCCCCAAGTTACCACTAGAATTTTCATATAGTCCCTTATATTTTTCTCTTAATAGGTATACACTGGGTATATATCAGTATACTTTTTATTTGAAATATATATGAAAAAAAGATTGTTGCTAGACTTGTTAACAGCATTTTGCTTTTTGTAGTAAGTATGTTTTCGATTGTACTGCATAGCTTAGAGTTCAGTTTTTTAGAAACATGCAGTTTATGTGGAAGTAATACAGTGAATTATTTATATATCGTTCCATATTAAGCAAATTTTTGTTGAGTCCCTACTGTTTGCAAGGCACTACACTAAGTGTTAAAGAGATGAAAAGATATAATGATCCCTGTCCTCAGGAAACGTACAATCTACTTTTTTTCACTGGAAATTTATTAAAGTAGAAAAATTACAAAACAATGTGGTAAGTGTCATAAAGAAGGAACACACAGGAAGGAATGCCAGAATCTGTCTAGGTGTTCCTTGACCAATTTAATCTGTAGATAATCTCATTGTCTTGACTGTAAATCAGCAGCAGATCAAAGCATTATGAAATTTTTCCTGCTTATAATGATTGTATATAAACTTGATCTAGATCAGTATAGTCTTATTTTTACTGCCCATTATAAAAACTAGGGTTTAAAACCCTGAAAAATAAAGCCACTCATGTCAGTTTCTTAAATTTTTTTATGACTTACAAAAGATTATCATGAATTGACCTCTATTTCAGTGTCTGGACATTGAGAATTAAACATTTTTATGCAAATGGAAGACACTTTATATCATTACCTTTTAAAATTTTGTTTATCATTTGGGTGTAACCAGGAGTATGACAGTTGAAATTTTAGTTGCCTTTTTTTTTTTTTTTTTAAGGTTTCCTTTGGATCCTAAAAGAAGAAAAGAATGGGTTCGCCTGGTTAGGCGCAAAAATTTTGTGCCAGGAAAACATACTTTTCTTTGTTCAAAGCACTTTGAAGCCTCCTGTTTTGACCTAACAGGACAAACTCGACGACTTAAAATGGATGCTGTTCCAACCATTTTTGATTTTTGTACCCATATAAAGTCTATGGTAGGTAATTTACTTTTCTTTTACCCCATTTTTACCATTTTTAGAACCCCTTTTTGTTTGTGAAATGGAACAATTCAGGATATATTGAAATTAATATATAATGATATGCCTCAAGAAAGTTGTAAAACTGCAATAAAGGTGCCAGCTAGAATTAGAGCTCAGGTCTTCTCAACATTCTTTCCCCAGTTGAAGTTGTTTTATTAGAATGGAATTATACATTACTGCCAATTATTATCAATAATCAAACCATTGGTAAAACTGAGAAATCATGAGTAATGAAAGCTCCAGGATCACTCTGCTCTTATTTTAAGATGACATAGAAAATGTGTGCCTAAGTGCTTTAACAGCAGTGCACCCAAAAAATACTGGAGTTATAGTAAACATAATGTTCCTCATGTAATTGTAGATTAATGATACCAAAATTTTTTTAAAAATCAAAAAAAAAACACTGGAGTTATACCAAAGAATGTAAGTTCAGAGGGAGATAAACAGAAAACTTCATAGAGCTCAGGCATTTAGGTGGGTCTTAAGCTTGGAGTTTGGAATTTAGGAGAGGGCTCTTGCACAGGACAATTCCAATAGGAGGATTAGAACAAAACAATGTGTTGAGATATGAGTGGAAAATAATTGAATGTTAATGGAATATCTGATCAGAGGAAAATTCATAACCTTGTGTTTCAATAAATTTTGTTGAATGAATGAAAAAGTTACAAGGTTATGTATGGTATAATCCGGCAACAATTAAGTGGTTTAGTACTGCTGGAGGACATGTCAAAATGGTGAATGGCAGGAGGTGAAATCCTAAATGGTATAGTATGCCATGTAAAGATTTTTTTTTTCCTTTAGGTAATGGTGAGGCAAAGAGTAATTTAGCCAGTATTGAAAAATCAAGTCTGTTAGAAACGTAATTCTAGTGGCAGAATATGGATTAGTGAGGATCAAAGCGAAGCAGAGATTAACAAAGTTTTTAATATATTTAAGTCAGCTATGATAACGGGTCTGCTGTGGACAGTAGCATTAATAATGAAGAACAGAGGATTCATGATGGAGATATTTAGGAGGTAGAATTAATAAGCCTTGATAACTGAATGAAAGAGATAAAGGGAAAAAAGGGCCCTTAAGGTTTCTGATTAGGGCAAAAGTTTTATGGCCAGATTTTTAAATCCTTGAATAGAAGATACATTTGTATGTGTTATTAAGTAATTAATAAGTAAATTTATTCAAGAACTTCATACTTGGGAATATGTTTTACCAAGTAGAACCCTAGGTCTAAAGTATTAATCAAATTGAAAGAATAATATTTACCTAAAAAATAAGTATCACAGATAAACCAAATGTCTAAATACATTAAATTGGCCTTAGTGAGAAAATTGTAAAGGCTTTGTAAAGTCTCCTTAGAATAATACTCAGTAACTTGGAAAAGACCTTGGAAGTCCATTGCCTGTTTCCAAACCAATGTTTGCATATTTATGGAGAGAGAAAATAAAAATAAATAGGTAGCTGGAGTTAATTCAGCCAATTGAAAAACTTAAATCCATGATTATATGAGATGGGCTTCTGATATTTCCTGTCAAACTTTTGAAATCAGTTTTTAAAAGAGAAGTTTAAATACTGTTATGTAATAGTGCACAAAATTCACTTATTTGTGATACTACATAATTTATGTTCAATCCCCCAATTTTATTTGACTCAGAAACTCAAGTCAAGGAATCTTTTGAAGAGAAACAACAGTTGTACTCCAACCGGACCATCTAATTTAAAATCAAACATTAGTAGTCAGCAAGTCCTGCTCGAACACAGTTATGCCTTTAGGAATCCTATGGAGGCAAAAAAGAGGATAATTAAACTGGAAAAAGAAATAGCAAGCTTAAGAAGGAAAATGAAAACTTGCCTACAAAAAGAACGCAGAGCAACTCGAAGATGGATCAAAGCCACATGCTTGGTGAAGAATCTAGAAGCAAATAACATATTACCTAAGGGCACATCAGAACACATTTTACCAACTGCCTTAAGCAGTCTTTATTTGGAAGATTTCAAGATTCTTGAACAAGATCAGCAAGATAAAACATTACCAATTCTCTAAACCTAAGCAGACCAAAAGCACCTTCATTTAAAGTTAATCTGCATAGATCTTGATGCCCATCTTTAATTTTGTTCAAAGATAGATATGTAAGGAAATTATGCCAGAATTGGGTATTTAAGTTTTACTTGAAGCAGCACTATTACTATATAATTTATGAAGATTTGATTACAAAAAAATGGAAAACTTTCCATGAAACTTTTATTTGAAAAAGAATGGAAGTGCCTTACATGAGAGTTAACTACTTAAAAATTTTTGCTAGGAAATTGTATGTTTGCAAGGTATTTTGTGTTTTTGGTTTTTAAACTACTTTAAAGAATGGTCTATGACAAGTGATGTGTTTAATTTATATTAGAAAATTTTTTTCCTGTGCCAAAGTTGGGATATTACATTCTAAATGAGATGCAAAGTAGGAATTAGCCAGCATTTAAATATGATTTTTAAACAGCTGGATTTTGTTGTAAATTATTGTTAGCACTGTGATTTGGAAAATTTATAGAAAAAACACCTGAGGTACAGGGGGGCAAGTTCTTTTATTTAAACCTTCCATATCTGTTTACCAGTAAAAACTAATCGTGGCCTCTCCCCTAAAAATACTAGCTTTTAAAATAGATTGTAAAATATTTTGAAAATAGTATTTTTGAATGTAAAGTATCATTGATTCACCCAAGCTAGGAAAGGCCTCAAGTACCTCAGACTGGTAAAAACTGGTAGTTGATTATTTTCATTTTCTAAGAGGTGTTGTGAAATAACGTAGAGATCAGGATCTAGCTTTTACCTTAGTTAAACAACAAGATAAATGTGTACAATTCTATCATAATAAAAATACTACATTTACAGTTTAAAAATTGATGCATTAATAAGCAAGTCTGCTACAAAGTTCTATGTCAGGAATAACCCCCTGCCCCCATGTATGTTGGTACCAAACCTCAAGTTTTTTTCCATAAACCCACAGTAGAATTTAATCTAGAAAAGTACATCATAATTATCTTCACAATTTGTAACTTAAAATGGAATCAATTTATCTTATACAGCTTGCTTTTCATCTCCTCCTTTAGTGAGAGTCAAATAGAACAACTGTCCTCCATAAGGAAATGAAATGCAGTTCTCTATAAAAATGTGTGTCTGATAAAGCTATGCAAGTGCTAATTTTACAAAGTAAAGTATCAGAACTATTCCATAGTTGTCACTTAACAAGTAAAGAGTTTGCCTTATTTCACTAGTTAAATGTCTAATAGGAACCTTTCCTTCAGTTTGGTCATGTAAAAATTTGAGCTTCAGATACCACCATATGAAAGTACTATATACCTAATCATAAATGGCTATAAATGTTTCCTGTAAGATAATGGCTACTTCATGATTTTAAGATGATTTTTTAGGGGAATGGGGCTGGGAGGCCAGAGTTGCCAGCCGTTTGGATTGCTTTTTTTTTTTTAATGACATTTACTTGGGTTTTAGCAAGTTTTTACAGTATCAGTATCTGCCCTTTTAATAAGGAATGTCTCTCAATCAACTAGATATTTCACAAAGGCAAAGGTAAGAATAATCTGGTTTAGTTATCATGAGGCACTTGCAGCAAATATTTATGAAAATCCTTTTATGTATATTCTAAACTTTATTAGTCATTTTATCTTAATCTTTAATTTTGGATTAGCTCTTAGAGTTATTATTACATTCTTTTACCAGTATGGTTTCAAATGTCTTTTCACTGATGTATAATCATCAGCAAGTACTTACTGACCATATCTATATTATACCTCAAAATAAATTGGGCAAATAATCATTTAAACATTAACTGTGTTTTCCAAGTATAATCTCTCATATGGTTCACCACCCCTCCCCAATATAAAACACTAATTAGTGCAGGTTAGTTCCCATTTATAATAATATCTTGGTATCTTAATAATACAACATTTTGAAAATCACAGAAACAAAACATGAAATACAAGCTTTTGGCAATGTTACCTAGTCTTCATTATTATTTGAGACCACTGAAAAACTACCACTCAAAAACTTTTTGCTGTTTTCTTCCTGTCATCTTTGTGTTATTCTGATAACATGCTCCATACTCTCCCTACATTAAATTGTTTCATTAACATACATCTGTCTACCTTAAAACTAGTCTCATTCAAAGAAATATCTAAAAGGAAACTTCTAAACTTTTGTGATATGCTTATCACTTCGACCATATACCATAAAACTAATTAGAATTATGATAGCTCTTTGTCCTCTGCTAGATACAACATATATCCTCTTGTTCATTCCTTCTAAGTCTCATTCACTCTAAGTCTTATTCATTCTATGTCTGTTAGGCACTAGCCTCTAACAAAGAATCAGACAAAGTCTAGTGACTTGGCATAAAGATAAGTATGACATGATTTTCTGCACTTAAGTTGCTCAAAATCTCCTGAAAGGAAAAATTTATATTTATTTGTAATTATGATAAATGCTATAAAAGATGTGTGAAGTGCTTTGGTAAATACTGTTGGATTGGAATTTAATGAGAACATAAACTTAGACCTTTTTATATAAAATTCTTTTGAAACAAAACATTTCTTATCAATTACCAAAGGAGGTAGGAGGACATTGCTGTTGACCTGAATTACAGTGTTTTCTTAATGAGTTGTAAGATTTTTTTTTTCATTTTAAAATAAACACTGAACAAATGTGTTGTTAATGGTATGTTCGTTAACAGGAAAATATAAATAAAATACAACATCAAAGCCAAGTAGTGGAATTCATTTGACATTTGATATTTTTACAAAATAACAAACCCAGTTAACTACAAGAAATGTGCTTGTATACTAAAGCTTGGTTTTTAGCATAGGACACAGGAAACATTTCCAAGCCATTAAATATTGAAGCAGGAATCTTTGAAAGGAGAATACATTATTATTAAGACATAAGGGCTGGGCAGAGAAATTCATTAGAGATTTCTAGTGAAATAGAAAAAAAAATACATACATGAAAATAAGTGAACTCTAGAAAGATACATAAATGTTAGTATCTTCAAATCAGGGTATGTTTGAGCTTGGGGGGATAGGGACAGGAGATGGAAGGGTGTTCACCAGTACATCTGGGCTGTCATCTCTTTGTGCCCCTCACTACTGGTAATTTGAGCAAACCTAGTATATCTGATACAGCCAAAGCTGTTACCTAGTAAAGTTTCAGTTGGGGGCTTCTGAGCCACATGATATTTTACCATGAATTTAATGGTTCTTTTTAAATACTAGTCAGTTCATAATTAATACTTAAAGGATAATATCATCAAACTAAAGAAGAATTCAACTGAAACTTATTACTGATGAATGTTGATTCTTATGTGTTTCCAAGTCAGCAACACGGTTACCACTAGAATTTTTTTTTTCACTTACTTTTTTTCATTTTTTGTTAAGGTATCATTGATATACAATCTTATGCTCAGGTTTTACATGAGCAACATTGTGGTTACTACATTCCCCCCTATTATCAAGTCCCCACCACATACCCCATTACAGTCACTGTCTGTCAGCATAGTAAGATGCTATAGAGTCACTACTTGAATTCTCTGTGCTATACTGCCTTCCCCAAGTTACCACTAGAATTTTCATATAGTCCCTTATATTTTTCTCTTAATAGGTATACACTGGGTATATATCAGTATACTTTTTATTTGAAATATATATGAAAAAAAGATTGTTGCTAGACTTGTTAACAGCATTTTGCTTTTTGTAGTAAGTATGTTTTCGATTGTACTGCATAGCTTAGAGTTCAGTTTTTTAGAAACATGCAGTTTATGTGGAAGTAATACAGTGAATTATTTATATATCGTTCCATATTAAGCAAATTTTTGTTGAGTCCCTACTGTTTGCAAGGCACTACACTAAGTGTTAAAGAGATGAAAAGATATAATGATCCCTGTCCTCAGGAAACGTACAATCTACTTTTTTTCACTGGAAATTTATTAAAGTAGAAAAATTACAAAACAATGTGGTAAGTGTCATAAAGAAGGAACACACAGGAAGGAATGCCAGAATCTGTCTAGGTGTTCCTTGACCAATTTAATCTGTAGATAATCTCATTGTCTTGACTGTAAATCAGCAGCAGATCAAAGCATTATGAAATTTTTCCTGCTTATAATGATTGTATATAAACTTGATCTAGATCAGTATAGTCTTATTTTTACTGCCCATTATAAAAACTAGGGTTTAAAACCCTGAAAAATAAAGCCACTCATGTCAGTTTCTTAAATTTTTTTATGACTTACAAAAGATTATCATGAATTGACCTCTATTTCAGTGTCTGGACATTGAGAATTAAACATTTTTATGCAAATGGAAGACACTTTATATCATTACCTTTTAAAATTTTGTTTATCATTTGGGTGTAACCAGGAGTATGACAGTTGAAATTTTAGTTGCCTTTTTTTTTTTTTTTTTAAGGTTTCCTTTGGATCCTAAAAGAAGAAAAGAATGGGTTCGCCTGGTTAGGCGCAAAAATTTTGTGCCAGGAAAACATACTTTTCTTTGTTCAAAGCACTTTGAAGCCTCCTGTTTTGACCTAACAGGACAAACTCGACGACTTAAAATGGATGCTGTTCCAACCATTTTTGATTTTTGTACCCATATAAAGTCTATGGTAGGTAATTTACTTTTCTTTTACCCCATTTTTACCATTTTTAGAACCCCTTTTTGTTTGTGAAATGGAACAATTCAGGATATATTGAAATTAATATATAATGATATGCCTCAAGAAAGTTGTAAAACTGCAATAAAGGTGCCAGCTAGAATTAGAGCTCAGGTCTTCTCAACATTCTTTCCCCAGTTGAAGTTGTTTTATTAGAATGGAATTATACATTACTGCCAATTATTATCAATAATCAAACCATTGGTAAAACTGAGAAATCATGAGTAATGAAAGCTCCAGGATCACTCTGCTCTTATTTTAAGATGACATAGAAAATGTGTGCCTAAGTGCTTTAACAGCAGTGCACCCAAAAAATACTGGAGTTATAGTAAACATAATGTTCCTCATGTAATTGTAGATTAATGATACCAAAATTTTTTTAAAAATCAAAAAAAAAACACTGGAGTTATACCAAAGAATGTAAGTTCAGAGGGAGATAAACAGAAAACTTCATAGAGCTCAGGCATTTAGGTGGGTCTTAAGCTTGGAGTTTGGAATTTAGGAGAGGGCTCTTGCACAGGACAATTCCAATAGGAGGATTAGAACAAAACAATGTGTTGAGATATGAGTGGAAAATAATTGAATGTTAATGGAATATCTGATCAGAGGAAAATTCATAACCTTGTGTTTCAATAAATTTTGTTGAATGAATGAAAAAGTTACAAGGTTATGTATGGTATAATCCGGCAACAATTAAGTGGTTTAGTACTGCTGGAGGACATGTCAAAATGGTGAATGGCAGGAGGTGAAATCCTAAATGGTATAGTATGCCATGTAAAGATTTTTTTTTTCCTTTAGGTAATGGTGAGGCAAAGAGTAATTTAGCCAGTATTGAAAAATCAAGTCTGTTAGAAACGTAATTCTAGTGGCAGAATATGGATTAGTGAGGATCAAAGCGAAGCAGAGATTAACAAAGTTTTTAATATATTTAAGTCAGCTATGATAACGGGTCTGCTGTGGACAGTAGCATTAATAATGAAGAACAGAGGATTCATGATGGAGATATTTAGGAGGTAGAATTAATAAGCCTTGATAACTGAATGAAAGAGATAAAGGGAAAAAAGGGCCCTTAAGGTTTCTGATTAGGGCAAAAGTTTTATGGCCAGATTTTTAAATCCTTGAATAGAAGATACATTTGTATGTGTTATTAAGTAATTAATAAGTAAATTTATTCAAGAACTTCATACTTGGGAATATGTTTTACCAAGTAGAACCCTAGGTCTAAAGTATTAATCAAATTGAAAGAATAATATTTACCTAAAAAATAAGTATCACAGATAAACCAAATGTCTAAATACATTAAATTGGCCTTAGTGAGAAAATTGTAAAGGCTTTGTAAAGTCTCCTTAGAATAATACTCAGTAACTTGGAAAAGACCTTGGAAGTCCATTGCCTGTTTCCAAACCAATGTTTGCATATTTATGGAGAGAGAAAATAAAAATAAATAGGTAGCTGGAGTTAATTCAGCCAATTGAAAAACTTAAATCCATGATTATATGAGATGGGCTTCTGATATTTCCTGTCAAACTTTTGAAATCAGTTTTTAAAAGAGAAGTTTAAATACTGTTATGTAATAGTGCACAAAATTCACTTATTTGTGATACTACATAATTTATGTTCAATCCCCCAATTTTATTTGACTCAGAAACTCAAGTCAAGGAATCTTTTGAAGAGAAACAACAGTTGTACTCCAACCGGACCATCTAATTTAAAATCAAACATTAGTAGTCAGCAAGTCCTGCTCGAACACAGTTATGCCTTTAGGAATCCTATGGAGGCAAAAAAGAGGATAATTAAACTGGAAAAAGAAATAGCAAGCTTAAGAAGGAAAATGAAAACTTGCCTACAAAAAGAACGCAGAGCAACTCGAAGATGGATCAAAGCCACATGCTTGGTGAAGAATCTAGAAGCAAATAACATATTACCTAAGGGCACATCAGAACACATTTTACCAACTGCCTTAAGCAGTCTTTATTTGGAAGATTTCAAGATTCTTGAACAAGATCAGCAAGATAAAACATTACCAATTCTCTAAACCTAAGCAGACCAAAAGCACCTTCATTTAAAGTTAATCTGCATAGATCTTGATGCCCATCTTTAATTTTGTTCAAAGATAGATATGTAAGGAAATTATGCCAGAATTGGGTATTTAAGTTTTACTTGAAGCAGCACTATTACTATATAATTTATGAAGATTTGATTACAAAAAAATGGAAAACTTTCCATGAAACTTTTATTTGAAAAAGAATGGAAGTGCCTTACATGAGAGTTAACTACTTAAAAATTTTTGCTAGGAAATTGTATGTTTGCAAGGTATTTTGTGTTTTTGGTTTTTAAACTACTTTAAAGAATGGTCTATGACAAGTGATGTGTTTAATTTATATTAGAAAATTTTTTTCCTGTGCCAAAGTTGGGATATTACATTCTAAATGAGATGCAAAGTAGGAATTAGCCAGCATTTAAATATGATTTTTAAACAGCTGGATTTTGTTGTAAATTATTGTTAGCACTGTGATTTGGAAAATTTATAGAAAAAACACCTGAGGTACAGGGTGGGCAAGTTCTTTTATTTAAACCTTCCATATCTGTTTACCAGTAAAAACTAATCGTGGCCTCTCCCCTAAAAATACTAGCTTTTAAAATAGATTGTAAAATATTTTGAAAATAGTATTTTTGAATGTAAAGTATCATTGATTCACCCAAGCTAGGAAAGGCCTCAAGTACCTCAGACTGGTAAAAACTGGTAGTTGATTATTTTCATTTTCTAAGAGGTGTTGTGAAATAACGTAGAGATCAGGATCTAGCTTTTACCTTAGTTAAACAACAAGATAAATGTGTACAATTCTATCATAATAAAAATACTACATTTACAGTTTAAAAATTGATGCATTAATAAGCAAGTCTGCTACAAAGTTCTATGTCAGGAATAACCCCCTGCCCCCATGTATGTTGGTACCAAACCTCAAGTTTTTTTCCATAAACCCACAGTAGAATTTAATCTAGAAAAGTACATCATAATTATCTTCACAATTTGTAACTTAAAATGGAATCAATTTATCTTATACAGCTTGCTTTTCATCTCCTCCTTTAGTGAGAGTCAAATAGAACAACTGTCCTCCATAAGGAAATGAAATGCAGTTCTCTATAAAAATGTGTGTCTGATAAAGCTATGCAAGTGCTAATTTTACAAAGTAAAGTATCAGAACTATTCCATAGTTGTCACTTAACAAGTAAAGAGTTTGCCTTATTTCACTAGTTAAATGTCTAATAGGAACCTTTCCTTCAGTTTGGTCATGTAAAAATTTGAGCTTCAGATACCACCATATGAAAGTACTATATACCTAATCATAAATGGCTATAAATGTTTCCTGTAAGATAATGGCTACTTCATGATTTTAAGATGATTTTTTAGGGGAATGGGGCTGGGAGGCCAGAGTTGCCAGCCGTTTGGATTGCTTTTTTTTTTTTAATGACATTTACTTGGGTTTTAGCAAGTTTTTACAGTATCAGTATCTGCCCTTTTAATAAGGAATGTCTCTCAATCAACTAGATATTTCACAAAGGCAAAGGTAAGAATAATCTGGTTTAGTTATCATGAGGCACTTGCAGCAAATATTTATGAAAATCCTTTTATGTATATTCTAAACTTTATTAGTCATTTTATCTTAATCTTTAATTTTGGATTAGCTCTTAGAGTTATTATTACATTCTTTTACCAGTATGGTTTCAAATGTCTTTTCACTGATGTATAATCATCAGCAAGTACTTACTGACCATATCTATATTATACCTCAAAATAAATTGGGCAAATAATCATTTAAACATTAACTGTGTTTTCCAAGTATAATCTCTCATATGGTTCACCACCCCTCCCCAATATAAAACACTAATTAGTGCAGGTTAGTTCCCATTTATAATAATATCTTGGTATCTTAATAATACAACATTTTGAAAATCACAGAAACAAAACATGAAATACAAGCTTTTGGCAATGTTACCTAGTCTTCATTATTATTTGAGACCACTGAAAAACTACCACTCAAAAACTTTTTGCTGTTTTCTTCCTGTCATCTTTGTGTTATTCTGATAACATGCTCCATACTCTCCCTACATTAAATTGTTTCATTAACATACATCTGTCTACCTTAAAACTAGTCTCATTCAAAGAAATATCTAAAAGGAAACTTCTAAACTTTTGTGATATGCTTATCACTTCGACCATATACCATAAAACTAATTAGAATTATGATAGCTCTTTGTCCTCTGCTAGATACAACATATATCCTCTTGTTCATTCCTTCTAAGTCTCATTCACTCTAAGTCTTATTCATTCTATGTCTGTTAGGCACTAGCCTCTAACAAAGAATCAGACAAAGTCTAGTGACTTGGCATAAAGATAAGTATGACATGATTTTCTGCACTTAAGTTGCTCAAAATCTCCTGAAAGGAAAAATTTATATTTATTTGTAATTATGATAAATGCTATAAAAGATGTGTGAAGTGCTTTGGTAAATACTGTTGGATTGGAATTTAATGAGAACATAAACTTAGACCTTTTTATATAAAATTCTTTTGAAACAAAACATTTCTTATCAATTACCAAAGGAGGTAGGAGGACATTGCTGTTGACCTGAATTACAGTGTTTTCTTAATGAGTTGTAAGATTTTTTTTTTCATTTTAAAATAAACACTGAACAAATGTGTTGTTAATGGTATGTTCGTTAACAGGAAAATATAAATAAAATACAACATCAAAGCCAAGTAGTGGAATTCATTTGACATTTGATATTTTTACAAAATAACAAACCCAGTTAACAAAATATTTTAAAAAATAATTTAGCTCAGTCTTAAAGTTACTAAAACACTATGGCACCCACCTTTACAAATAATTCTGTGTGGTAAGTGGCACTACCTCCAATTTACAAATGAAGATATCCTTGTTAATTTATTCATTAAAACATTTACTATGCCAACTGGCACAGGGATAAAAATGCTAGTCATCTAGGAAATTCTAGATTGAACACTGGTCTTAAGCCTCAAAATCCTGTTCTCTGCCCTCCACATTATAATTATCTATTAAACATATGAATCTATTATTAAAATAGAACAAGTCATGTCTCCAAAGCTAAAATAAAACATTTTTATTTATATATATATATATATATACACACACACATATATGTCAAGGTAGACTTTATAATGTTGGTATTTTATCATTTCTGAATGTTAGAATACGGGTAACTTAATTTGTGTATTAAATGGTTCATCAGAATATGGATTTTTTTGGTATTTAGACAGTTGGAAACTTGAAAAATAATGTATATTAATTGCATATTCATAAAAAAATGTATTCTCACTATATTGATATTAAAAACTTTTTTCCAAGGAAATTACTCTTATGCCTGTTATTTCCAAAAAATGTACATGAACAGTTCTGTGGAAGTCCTTCCCCTAGATTAGCCCCCTAAAAGAGTTTTGTAGAAGTCCTTCTTAAATTGAAGCAAACTGTAGACAAAATAAAGATATGTAAAGCCTGGGAAAGGAATTATTTTTGTTACCCATGTTATATCTAAACATGCATTATAGTTTATTTGCATTGTTTTAAATACTGGTTATATAATTTAAACCAGATATATAAAGAACTATAATAATTATCTTTTGTCTATCCTGACAATTGGGAGCTCACACAAAGATTTATTTGTAGTATGATTGCCAAAGCATTACTTTAGTAACAAAAAAGGAAATAAGGTGATTTTTTTTCTTATTTTTTCTTTCCTAGAGTATTGTTAAATAGTTTTAATTCAAAAACTACTGTCCTAACATTTACTAAGACATTGAGCGAAAACTAGGATGAACCAGACAAGCATGTCCTTAAGGCTACTGGAAGAATATTTTTCCATTTGTTTATTCCTGCCCTTACTGTTGCCCACCTTCTTCCTAATGTCCTCTCAGAATGAGTTAAATCTAGTACAACAAATCAGTCTTCAAACTGCTACCTAGTTATTTTTTTAATGTGTGCTCCAAAAATTTAAAAATAACAGCAGATATGTGCCTATCACTCAGATGAATTTTCAAGTTAATTATTTAGATATTTCAAGCCATATTTCTTAACTTTTCTCTATTCTCTTGAACGTCCAATTTTCATGCTCTTCTTAACCACCAAACCTGTACAAATTGCCCTTCCCTCAGCTTGGTCATTTAACTTGTCATTTTTCAAGTCAGCTTTTGACACTCCTCTCTGATCCCTTAACGTATCAAAGTGACAGTTAAGTGTCTTACTCCTTGAGACTTGTTTTATACATGACTTGGATAAAGTCATCATAATGTAATTGTCTCATACGTATTTTCATTTTCTATGTTCTTTCAAGGCAGTGTGTGAGTGTCATTTTTTCTTTTTTGGGCCTCAGAGCTGTGACGTGTATATAGTAGGCATTCAAATGTTAGTAGATTTCAGAAAAATCTGTATCACTTCTTTGCCTTACATTCAAAGGGATTGTACATAAAATCCACTGATACTTTGCTAGTGTAAGTGCCTTTTGCCATAGGGATGATTTTTCCAATTGGTGTTAAGTAGCTAATTTTATCTATCACAGAAAAATCCAACATTTCTATATTGAACACTTAAACATAAATAGGTATTATGACATTTAAAGATTAGTAGTGTAACAATGAACTTCAGTCTGTTACTCTGATTACTATTGAAATTACCAAACTTGTGTTTTCTGAGGGAAAGAAATCTGGTGAAACAATTCTGTTGAAAGAGTTAAAGGTGTTCAACTTCTCAGAGTCTTTGATAACAGACTCACAGTCCTATGAGGATATAAAATTTCTCAACTTTAAATTCGATCAGAGGTATTTGAGGCGGTGGTGGAGGGTAACATAGCTAACTACTTACTATCTTGAGGAATACAGTTTAGGAAATGGTTAGCCACAAATTCTGTTGCTAGAAAAAGGCTTTTAAGATAAATAGAAAAAGACTATTGAAATTTTTAAGATTGTCAAAGCCTATAAAAATTAGTGAACCTAACATCAGGGTTTTTTATTTTTTGTTCTACAAATAAGTGTAACTTAACTACATTAATTTCCCCAAACTGTTGCAGCCATAAGCTAGAGTAAAGTTTTATGGAGAACAACAGCAATAACTGGATACTCCAAAGAAATGGAAGAGAAGTATCATTTGCAGGGTCAGTACTATTTATTTAGTATGCCATTTTACACAGATAGAATGAGAAAGAAAATCACCCCTGACATCCAAGAACTAGCCTGACACATGTAGATTTCAGTGTTGTTTAGAAGATGCATGACGCAGCCTTACCATGGTTTTCTGTTGGACATACAAAAATCTCACAGAACACCATCAGACAAGGCTACCCTGTGACTGTGATGAAGTGAACGGGGGACAAAAAGCAAGACTAGTTCATAATCTAGTCTAAGCAGAGACAAAAACAAGGTCAGTATGCCATATTATTACTATTTGTAATAACTTTACCCACTTGTTTGGTATGGCTGATATTGGCCAGTTTTGAAAGGTAACATAATTTTACCTGGGCTGAACAGATTGAGACAAAAATTAAGTGGGCACATAATAAATTTCTCATAAAGCCCATTGGTGCATGTAGTCTAGTAAGAGAAGGCCATAACTAGTTCTACTTCACAGATTCGGTTCTTAACTAGCTAATCAGATGCCTTACCAAAGGAAAGGGCATTACATTGTTCTGGCATGTATTTTCCATTTTAAAATAGTGCTTTTAAAAAGTATTAGTGGGTTAAAGCACATTTGGGTGTACTACATCTCAAACTGACTTGCCTCGTCTTCTTGCATTGTCAGCCATTCATTGAAAAAGTTCAGAAATACAGTGTATCAATTAGTTACTGTTAACTCAGGCTAACAAAAGTTTCAAATGAAATGCGAAATCGGCCACAAGGTTCACGTTTTTAATGGTAACAGACGTTCTACTTTCTACATGAATTGACTGAGCACACTTGAAATTTGAGAAAGTGGGTACAGATTTCCACAATGTACGTGGTGTCATGACAGTATTTGAAAGCTCAGTAGCAGGAACTGTCCTAACTTTATCTTTACATTCAGCAGTGTCCAGCACATTACAGGTAACAAATGGTGTCATTGTTTTAAATGATTTCCTCAGTAGTAAAATGCCGTTTCTACAACATAGTATATACCCTGCCCGAAAAAATCCGTAATATTATATGGCATGAATTCTTCAGAGATGAAAAAGTAATCGAATATTATGCTTGAAATGGACCTACCACATCTAAATTCACTCATTCCTTTATTCTAGTACTACCTTGGCGGTGATTTCACTCTTCGGCGTTTGGACGTCCTCAAACGCGAATACCTGAGGTTCCAGACAGCTAAAACCCTAGGAGTACTACAAACCCCCAACCTGCGGTCCCTACGCGAGTCGCCCAGTCTGCCGGCAGAGCCGCACTTTAAAGGCTCCCGTGAGCGAGGCAACGCCCTCTGGCGGCCGCAGCGCCTGCGCGCAGGAGGCGGAGACTCGGCTAGGCGCCGGCTGAGCTCCAGGGAGGTGGGCCTTGGCCCCGCTGGCACTGGTCTCCTGGGTTGTGCGGGTGGACGTCGGGACGTAACCGCGCCGCGTCGCGCAGAGCTCCACGCGGGGACTCGCCGGGGTTCCAGCGCCTTACCCGCTTGCTGTGCAGCCACAGGCGCGCCGGCGTCGGCGCGGGCTTGGGTCGGTGGATGCAGCTCGTCATCCGGGACTGCAGATTAGCTGCTTTCGCTTTGTTTGGACCTTGCCTTCTCGTTCGCGGAGCTCAGGTGTGAGGTGACCGCTGTCCAGGCGCCAGCCCCCACGGGGTATGCGCTCTGCTTTTCCAGTGAGGCGTTTTCCTCTCAAGGACAAGTTTGAGCTCTCCGCCCGCAACAGCTTCCGGAAATAGTTTGGATATTTATTAATTTTTTGATCGGTGGAAGGTGTTGGCATTTATATTCTCCTGTATACGAGTGTTTTGCTGGCAACTTAAATGACTTCACATTTCTCAGAAACGCCTTATATTTTCACCGCCAAGTGCTTATATCTTTATTTTCCATGACAGATCTTGACGACAATATATGCAAAAAATACATAAAGATGATAGTTAATATAGTTATATTGAGCCTGATCATTAGCATTTCTTTAGCTTTCTGGATTATGTCTATGACTGCAAGCACCTATTATGGTAAGTATGAATATTCTAAGTTGGTTTTCTATGGTTCAGTGAAATTTAAAAATGTACCATTGTGAAATACAAAACTCACATCCTCTGAATGATTAGCAATTGTTTACTTAACGTCCAGTCTGAATTTAATTTACTAATATGAAAATATAAACGGTGCCTTGAAAAAGCTAAAGCCTTTAATAAATGCTGCTTGTGATCATACTAATTAAATCTATTTCAAAATGTTTTATGTTTTGTAGAGCAATTGCAGTGATATTTTTTATAAGAAGAATGGAGTTATTTTTAATAAAAATATTAATAGTGGGGATTATTAACTGAGTTAATAGTTTCATGTGTCCTTTAAATATAACAATGAAAAATAAAAGTATAGTGTTTACATTTGGAGATGGGGAGGATTTGTCTGCTGTTTGGTCACTTCAAAAGATTCCTTGTAAAGTCTGAGGCTGCTTTGCATAAATAAAAGGTGCTCGGGACTCAGATCTTTGAGGTTTTCAGACCAACTTAGAGCAAAAGTGTATCTTTACACAAACTTCCCTGGTACCTCTATAAAAACAGAATACTGTTCAGTTCAAAGGAAAAAGTGAAAAGTACAGTGAGAACAACTCTGCAGATGGTTATATCTTAAGAGGTTGTCATTTCAGACTGCAATCCTTTTGCAAAGAGACGTGATTCAAATGAGTGTTCTGCAGGGTACAAAAGCTTTCAGTGCTGTTCATAACTATCCATAGTAGGATATAAGGGTTGGGGAAGAGATTCTCATTAATACCAGAATTAACTATGACTTGAACTAAATAGAATTAACCAAGGTTTGTAAACTGAAGTGTCCCTCTGTGACTAGATAGCTGATCTAAATCAGTCAAGCTGTACAGGTTTATGCATGTTAAACACATGGGAATAGTTTTCACTTCCAAAAATAGAATTTTCCCACTTGTTGTTGAACATTTGGCCCTCTTTGTCTTTCATTTTCCCATTTTTGATAGAAACATGAATACAAGCAATAGTTCACATTTTTCTTTACTATAACCACTCAGCCTTGGTGTTCAGGAATCTGTCAGGAATGGTGAGGAATTTAAAGGGAAAGGCCAAGACCTGACTAAAGGAGGTGGTCTTTAGTTACACCTGCGTTCAACTGTGCCACATGGGCCTGACTTCCAGTCTTTACAACAGAAGACAAGGATCTGGATTTTTATATGAAATCTCCTAATCTTTAAATATTGACTCAAGTTGGTTGAAACCATTGTGCTAGCCAAACAAAACGTCTGTGAGCTGGATGCAACCTTTGGAAAAATCCGTTGGTAACCATTAAATCCTGAGGTGTATAAATGTGAGAATGTTACTGTTTACAAAAATCTCTCTGAAAGGCAGAGAGAAGAATAATTGGATCCGGTTAAGAGAGGAGTTCACTCTATGCAGTTCTGGAGATTTAATATGTGCCTCCTTTCCAAAAAAATAAGGAATCAGAGATTCACTTCAAATCTCTAAATTGCATGAAAATAACCACATAAACTGTTTATTGTAATAGGTCTCAAAATTTGGACAGGACTTGGTCATTTCCCAGTAGGATTGTCTCTCTGAAAATAATTTATTAACCTACATATTTTACTTTGGTGGCTACATTTCAGTTCTCATGACAGTATTTTAATCCAGAATGCAGTTTATCAAAGCTTAAAGCCACAACTAACCTGTGCAGTCTTCACACAATTTGTGCTTTACTTTTATAATTTTTCAGGTAACTTACAGCCAATTTCTCCTTGGCGTTGGCTGTTTTCTGTTGTTGTTCCTGTTGTGATCGTCTCTAATGGCTTTAAGAAGAAAAGTCTAGATCACAGTGGGGCTTTAGGAGGTATGTTTTTCTTTTGAATGTTTGTCCATGTAATAAGTGCTTGCTTAGATAATTAAAACTCATGTTTTCTAAATTCTGAATATATGAGACTATATATAAATCACAATGTTAATATGTTTTAGACAATGATGAAGTCATGCATTGTTCAGCATTACTATCGTCAAAATCTCCGATATTAACATACCCTTTTAGTGTCATGTACAAATTTAGCTTCTTAATTGATATCAAGTAGATTAGTAGGATAGACTTTTGAGGACCTTGATTATTCTGTTCCTTTAGCTGGATAAAATTATATGCTAGCAGAAACATTGGAGTACTACTCCTAGGTGTAAAGTAGAAGAGCTGTTGGAAAAAATAGCTCTTGGAAACTGCTGTTGGTAGCATTAAGGAGAGCAGTCCAAACTGAGTGTTCTAGATTCATTTTTCAGAACTGAGTTAGGGACTGGCAATTTATTTATTCTTTCAGTAAATATTTATTGAGCAATTAATTGTTTTAGAAACACATATGCCACTCTTTTAGAAACTGGGGGTTGCTGTGAACAAAGACATGGTTTCAGTTCTTATGGAAATTTTATTCTTTTGGCCAGTTAGATAACAAGTAAAACACATTAAATGTTTCATATAATGATAAACTTTATGAGAAAAATTAAAGATAAAGTGTGTATGTTAGGGGATATGCGACAGTCTTCTGTAGATAAGGTCGGACATATCCCTTTTTTCTAAGGAGGTAGTTTTGAACTGGGACTGAAGAAGCTAGCAGTGAGAAGATGAAGAACCATTTTTCCAACCTGACAGAATAACAGGTGCAAAGGCCCCGACATATACAAACCTTACAATAAGGCTCAATGGACTGGAAAATAGTAAAAAAAGGATAAGCTCTGAGAGATGAAAGTGAAGAAATAGGCAAGATATGGGGACTTGTGAGATGCAGTAAAGATTTTATTCCAAACTAGGTGGATTCTTCCCTGCCTCAAATCAGGGGAGTGGCATGATATGAAATGATGCTGGGACTTTCATATCCTACCAAGACATGAGGATTCCCCCAACTACTTCTTGTAGGATGAGATCCCTACATGGTGAGGATTATTAGTTACAGGCAGGTATTGAAGCCACCTACCCAACCTTCAAAATGTTGTTGATCATTATCCCCTAATGCCCTGTAAATATGTCCTGCTCTGTATAATTTGCATGCAGCAGATATTTCTCATAAAGTTTTAAACACTGAAACAGGCCTTCTTGGAGAGGAGATTGCATGATGCATCAGTGAACAAGCCCTTTGAATGCGTTTGAATAATAGTTACGGCTTTGGAGAGTCACTTAACCTCTCTCTACCTTAGTTTTCTTTTCAGAGAAATGAAGTTTTTGTATCTAAGCTAGAGAAGGATATAGCGTGAAGCTCGTGAAGCTTAAACCTAACAGCATGTCACTTGCAGTGGTGTCTTCCATGGCTCTGGGAAGAGCCCTAGCAGTGCGTTCTCGTGGTCCTGCTGTCGTGGTGATTTGCTTTCTTCATAATGGAGAACAGTGCTCAACTTCTGTTGAGAGATTTTTTTCCTTTTTTCAGGTAGTTTAGAATTACAGTTAACTGACATTGACATTTTTATATGAATTTTGCCTTGCCATATAGTTGATACATGTATTAGGAATGTCGATGTTTTATTTATTTAGCAAATGGTTATTTTATGCCTACCATGTACCAGTCACTGCTGTTAGCACTTTGGAAGTATTAACTCATTTATAACATGTAATTTGAGCCATCTCTTCTTGAGTAACATAGAGTTATGCTTTGCTTAAAGTGTCCTTTCTCAGGTAACCTTGTCTCAGTTTTTATTTTTTACCATGTCTGGTGAAATATGCATTCAGACTGTCTTCCTTTTGCTTTCATGTATATTGTTCTGCTTCTCCTCTTTTTATCTCTAGTTCTGTTTCTTTTCTGCTACTGTTTCCATTTCTGTCTTCTGGCCCTTGCATCTCTATTCCTCTCCCTATCTAGCTGGATTCAGAATTAGAAATATGTACTTTAATCCTAACACCACCATCTGCTATCTCTGAACTTTGTCATATCACCTGACTCCTCAGAGCCTCACTTTGTTCATCTCTAATGAAATAGGTTTTTATGGGCTTTTTGGTAAGACTGAAATAAGATAATGGACAGGACAGCACATCTTTTTTAACTATAAAGCATTATACAGATATTCACTGTCAGTGATTTATTATCTGCTTTCAACCATATTATAAGCTTCCTAAAGACAGAGACTCTGTCTCATCTGTCATTGTCCCACGCTTCTTGAAATAGTGCCATACACATAGGTGCTTAGGAAATACATGTAGATGATTTTAAAACCATTGCTCTTTTCCTAATCATTTCATTCTGTGGAATGTTGGTATCTTTTTTGTTGGGAGCTTTTTTCCCCTTAAGGATAAAAAACTGTAAATTTTGTAAGGCTGATTCAAAGTATCATAGTACTTGGGAATATTATCTTGGAGTATGACTGCAAGTCACTTAAAGTATCAGTATTGTAATATTCTCATCTATAAAACAAAAAGGAATAATAGTATCTGTAGCATTGACTTATCATGAGAAAACATTCATCTTAAAAGGCCTTGCACGGTACCTGGCACACATCTAAAAAGTATTTTATAAATGTTATTATTACTGTTTTCCTTCTGCTACTACTATGCACAGTCATAGGAGTTGTCCTGAGGTTTACTGTATCATGTCTTGGGATTGCAAAGTGTGCTTGCGATACTGCCGAGAGGTTCAGAACTTCCTCAGGAATTGGGTACTCAGAGTCCTCCATGACACTGTGACACATATATAAAAAAAACGGAAAAGGAAGGGGGTTGACACAGTACTTAAGGCAGACACTGAACTGAAGGGGTCTGGGCTCTTTGAGAGAGAGTATTTCTAGAATAAGGAAAGGATCACATGAGGGGATATGTGAGAAAGTGTTTATCAACTGTGAAGTACTGTGCAGGTGATTCGCTCCAAGGAAGTATCGTCTAGTCTAGTGTTTCAGTGTGTTCCTTTGAATTCAGTGTGAACAGTTCATCTTCACGCTTTTCACTTGAGAAGTTGAAATTTAATTTCTCACCTGCCAAATCTTTTAGGCTAGTGGCTTATCACTTTCCATTCATTCATTCAGCAGATATTTAGTGAGGGTCCCCTATATGCCAGGTACTTTTGAGTGCCTGTTCTGAGCATGTAGGATTTAACAGTGAACAAAATGTATAAAAGTCCCACCAAATGGATAAAAATACCACTTGCCATAGAGCTTACATTTCTCTTCAGGGAAAACAGATGATAAATAAGATGGGTTTGAGGCATTTAATTGCCAGAAGAAAATACTGTAAGTGTAATAGAAGTGCACAGCAAATGGGGCTTTGTCAGTAAAGGCCAGTGCTTGTGCTCCATGTGGTTTTACAAGGGTGGCCTTCTTTTATGGTCACCATAGTTCAGGTCATGTTCAGGCTTTCTGAAATAGAAACCTCTCTGTCAGGTACCCAGAGTTGATCAGAGCCAAGAAGACTGGTTTATGTTTCTCATTGCCAAGGGACTGATACATGAGCCAGAATGCCACTTCATTAATCTGACAAAATGTAGAACTACCAGGCAGACTGAAATACAAATGTCATTGTTCAGGTATGCCCCGTTCTTGTAATCAGGCCACTTGAGAAGTCAGGCTATAATTAGAAGATTGCTTTGGTGAGTACAAAGTTTGAGAAACAGTAATGCAAATCCACAAGTCAAAACATGCCTTCCGTTGTACAGTGTTTGACAAGTCTGCCAACCTCTAGTTCTTTTGGTCTTCATGTTATGTATTTTGGGTTAACCAGCCGTCCTTTGATTCTCAGTTTTTCTCTGGGCAAATTATGTATGATACAGTTGATTAGATTTGAGTTTATTAAACTATAAAATTCCAGTCCTGCCTTTCTTGTTTCTGCCTCCCAGTGATTATACCAAGGTCACCTTAGTTGGAATTTTGAATGTAACTCTACTCCTACCATCCCAGACATTTGTAGACAGTGTTGTTTACATTACCAGATGGCCTCTGTTAGATACAGAACTTTCCTGTTTTAACTCAGAAAGCAGCCATAACCCTTGTGTCTTCAAGTGCTTTGGGAACACCCTATTGTTATGCATATTAAATTAGAAATTCCATATGTGGATTGGGGGGTGAGGAGTGGAATAGATAGGAACTGAAAGAGCAGAAAGTTCAGACATAGGTGGAAGTTGCCAAAAATTCCAAGGTACTTTTAAACTACATGAAAGAAATAATTTCTTCAGAGCATGTTGCCTTCAATTTGTTTCCTCTTTCTGAACCTGTCATCAACATAAACACTGATCACTTCCCGTAGTATTTTAAGATGGTTGAAGTAGAAAGGATATAGATGACCTCTGTAGCATTTTAGTGTAGGTTGTTTTAGGACCATCTTACTCTAGTTTTGTTTAAAGACAGTGAAACAAATTGTTAACTGACTATCTGTAGAGAAGGAATGGAGGTAGAGAAGTGAGGAAGTTACTTTTTGTATACTTCCTTATATTTTGGCCTTCCCCTCCAATAGTCATGTAATACTTTTGTAATATTTTAAAAACCAATTGAAAAAACTTAAAGGTTGGTTAACAATATCCATCATTATTATTACAATAATAATACATAATTACAAAAATAATATGGTTTTTTATAACTGCTACTGTTACCAATGATATCAGTTAACATTTATTAACGGCCTCCTACATGTTGGGTAATATAATAAGCATATTATAAAAACTATCTTGTTTCACTTTTCACAGCAAGCCAAGGATCCCTTGTATAAGATGAATTGCTTAACCCCTTGCTGTTTTCAATACTCTATCTTTGTCTTTGTCAATAAACACTTTGATGATAATGGATCTCAGTGTCAGGTACCCAGAGTTGATCAGAGCCAAGAAGACTGGTTTATGTTTCTCATTGCCAAGGGACTGATACATGAGCCAGAATGCCACTTCATTAATCTGA